TTTTTTAATTCTACAGTAAATAATAGACTCATATTCACATTTAAGGTCACGCATAGTTAATTTTTCGCTTTACATAAAATGGAATCAGAAAATTGGGTTGGCAATAGAATTTTTTTTTATCAGGTCTATAGGACAATTCCGGAAAAACAAGGTCTCTACTGGGTGATACCGGAATAATTTATGGGGAAAAATTAAATGGCAAAAATAGAACAATTGGCACAATTAGAACTTAAAAAAAAAAAAAAAAAATCGAAAATTGAAAAAAATGGGTCGGCGGGTAATGCAAAACGAAAAATTAACTTTGTGTGGCCTTATGTCGATCACCGAATCGAAAGAGCATTAAGTGCAGATTTAATTTACTTTATATTTGATATTTAGGTATACTCATATACATAAAATTTCGTGCTGAAAACTTTTGTTTAGAAGTCAAACTACCGGTTAACATAGTAAAATCTTGAGTTATTTACGATTTTTATGTGAAAACAGAAAAATCGCAAATAGTTCAAGATTTTACTATGATAACCGGTAGTTTGACTTCTAAACAAAAGTTTTCAGCACGAAATTTTAGGTATATGAGTATGCCTAAATATCAAATATAAAGTAAATTAAATCTCACTTAATGCTCTTTCGATTCGGTGATCGACATAACCTGTCACAGATTTGGGACGTGCCAATTCGAAGTTGCCTGACGAAATGGTTTCATCATGCGTCAATGACGCAAGTTGCGTCATGCGTCACCCATAATTATCAGTGTCGCATGACAAACACCACGCTTTATATGTATTATTATCGTTACACAACGTACATTTTCCATGCTTTGAATTTCGATTCATTCGGGAAAAGAATCATGATGACTATCAAAGGTGTTAACATAATATGACAAAAAAAAGTCACGAAAAGCAAGCACAAGAAATAATACCATACAAAAAACGTTAATAATCTCAGATGATGGTCTAAAAAGAGTAGATAATAAAATGACCAAAAAAATAAAATCACCATTTGTTTTATTTTAGTATAAACAATAAAAATGATAAAAATAATTATTGAAAAAATAGCGAAAAAAAGATAAAGAAAACAAAGAAAATAAAAGAAAAGTAAAAATGAAAAAATTCATAAAAGATTATAAAGAAAAGAAGAAAAATAATTCGAAAATTATGATTAGCAAATATCATGTAGTACTATAACAAAAATAATAGAACATAAAAACTTAAAAGAATAAATGCACCAATGAAGAAAAGATACGAGAAAAATGACGACGATCATATAACTTAAATTCAGTACTCATAGAAGAAATAGAAGATGAAAAAATAAAATCTTTTAAACTCAATTTTTTATAAGAATCAAAATTCTTTTCTACCCAATTAGCTGTCAATTGTGTTTTTTCTTCAGAAGGAATTGGAATTGTGATAATATCCGCAGTAGTAGCTGGGACATTTACATTAATGTTAATAATGTTGGAAGAAAATTGATTTTTCAAGTTTGTAAACTTGGTTCGTTCATTGCTGATGAATAAGTTGGAGTAACTGGACTATCTGCAGGCGGCATCAATTCCGGACTATTTTTATAGAGTACCAGTTCCTAATTTTAGAAAAGTAAAGGCCGGACTATTTTTATAGCGTACCCTATAG